GAGAGAGAGAGAGAGAGAGAGAGAGAGCTATAAAAAGTAGGAGAGGGGAAGAGTGGGGGAGAGAAGGACTGACCAGAAGAGATGTCCGCAGAGAGAGATGACGGCGTCTTTGGCCGTATCCAAGCAGATGTTGCACTCGAAGTTGGCGTCGTTCGGGTTGTCGGCGGAAGTGGAGGGCTTGGGATCCGTTGTGTCGCCCGAAGGAACCGAAGAAGAAGAAGAAGACATCGTTTGACAACAAAATGGATCGATTGGAGACGTATTAAATGGCAAACACGTGACCAGTCGTCAGCCAATCAGAGCGTGCGCTGAGTTTGAGTGACGTTTGCTTTGTTTTTGCGCCAAATTTGAAATCAAAACACATTTAATTTGAAACGAGTTTTTATTAATTGGAAAACATGAAGGAAAACACGTGCGCGACGTTATAGCGCGAGACTCCCGACTCTCCCGACGAGAGCTTCACTTTTTTGCCCCGCGGAAGCACGAGAGCCGCGCACTGGTCGCTGTCGGCCGGGAAGAGACCGGCGGGACACGTGAGGTGCGGCAGATCCATGAACACGGTGTCCACGATGAACGCGACGGCGTCGGCGCCCTCTTTCCCGCACTCCTTTTGGGCCACTCTTTCGACACACGATTGCCAGAAGTTGAAAGCGCAGCAAACGCTGGCCAGAGAGTTGTTTTGGGCGTTGGCGGCGTTGAGAGTCGCGATGTAGCGGTTGTTGCACTCGTCCTTCACGGCGCGCGTCGACAGCGCCTTCTCGTGGACGCAGGGCGACACTCGCAGGAACCCTATTGGAGGGGAGGGCGTGAGTGGGCGTGGCTGAATGTGACGTCACTTACGTTCGCGTTTCGGTCCTTTTTTGCACAAATCGTTGGAATGGAAGAGAATTTGGTCCAAAATAAGACCCGAAATCTCGCGATGAAGAGGAGTTCCGCACTTCTTGAAGTAGTCGCGGACGCACGCGCCGAACTTGCCCTTCAGAGTGCTGCGAGAGAGAGAGAGGGGGGTTAGAGGGGGCGGGAGGCAAAAAGGGGCTCACCCGCAGAGACGGTCGACGCCGTCGGCTGTGGCGAGGATTTGCGTGGGATTGTCGGCCTTTTGCAACGAAGACAGCGGTTCGAGACATTTGTCCACGTCCTTCAAGTGACACGACAACTTCCCTTTGCCTTTCCCGCGATTGCGGCGCCGCTGAGCGGAAGTCAACGAAAGCAGAGAAAGCAGGAGAAGAAGCGCCGAAAGAAAGACTGAGAGAAAGAGTGTTATTGAGAAGGAATTGTTGTTTCGCGAGACTTACGTTTGAAATGCATTTCGAATGAAAAGAATTTCCAAAAAATCCACAATTTATACGAATTTCGGGTTTTTTCGAAGGATTTCTGTTCTAATCCCAAATCGCGTTCTCATTCTCATTGTTGACCCAAAAAGCGTTTCGAAACAAAAGCTTCGAATAATTGCGTAATAAATGCGCGAGAATTGCGAGAAAACAGGTTTTATTGGGATTTTGCAATCAATACAATCGCGTGACTTTGGAATTGCGGCCGAAATGCGAATTCGCGCCGCGTTTTGCATTTTAGTCAAGATTTCGGTTTTGCTTTCATTTCGTCTGAAATTCGAATAAATTATTAGAAAATGCGTGAAAAAGAGATTTCAATACTTTGTTTGATGTATTGTTTGCACGCATTCCTCGTCGTCAAGAAAAACACGTTTGAATTCGGATTTCGAATAAAGATTTTCTGAAAGAGAGAAAGAATTGAAAGAAATTCGAAAGCGATTTGAATGCAAACCCTGTTTGCGGGCAAAGAATGGATTTCGTATTCCAAAACACGCGACGATTGCGACACAGAATCCATGTCTGCGTCGATGCGAAAGACGGCCGAAAGATGGC